GCTTAAAAGCTAAAAAGTTGCCTGTGTTTTAAATAAAGTTTTGTTTAAAGTTTGTAAATTTTACATGGACTATTCTCAGTGCTGTTATTGCCCAACTAGCCAATGGTAGTGATTTTTAATCTGCTGTGGGTCCATTAGTTGCTCCTATTAGTTGTTGGTTTCTTCTTTTTAAATTTTCGATTAGGGTTTTATATGTTTAACTTCTCTTACTATTTTCAGGTTTTCTTTTTTCGCTCTGGTAGGGTAATGTGCTCTATAAATTTGTACACTTTTGAAATCTGTTGACTGTGAGAGACAGAAAGACTCCTGTGATGTTCTGTAATGATTTTTCAATGAAAAAAATAATGAAACCCCTTCTTTACTGATGATATACAGATCCATTATGTAAAATCAAAGAAGTTCTTCTGATTGAGGAAAGTGTGGGGGGAGGAGAGAGGCTAGAGAACCACCAAACTTCTCCTTACCTTCCCTAAAGAGCAGCTTGGAGTCCTTGGAGTTACCTGGATAAGATTTTAAAACTGCTGCTCATTTATAAAATGTTTTATATGCATCTATAGATAAAGTTAAATTTTTATTATTAAAAATTTTCCCACGTCAATCTGTTAATGACTGAAATAGTGTGTTTCAGTCTCAACAAATGCATTTCTCTGACCTCTTCCTGAATTACTGGAAGCTTGTACTTTGTATATTTCAATTCTCTGGAATTTGATGATTGATGATTAACATTTTGTATTTACTCTCTTCACCACAGGTAGCATCACTTAGTAACATAAAATTACTGACACTGTTCTCTTTTATTTATTTATTTATTTATTTATTTAAAAGATTTTATTTATTCATTTGAGACACAGAGATACAGAGAGAGAAAGCATGAGCAGGGAGAGAGGCAGAGGGAGAAGCAGGCTCCTCGCTGAGCCAGGAGCCCGACGTGGGGCTCGATCCCAGGACCCTGGGATCATGACCTGAGCCGAAGGCAGATGCTTAACCATCTGAGCCACCCAGGCGCCCCGACACTGTTCTCTTTTAAAGCTTTTCCCGTGGAATCTTTTCTCTGAACTAATAATTGCTACTATTAGCATCTGAGTTTGTCTGATATACCTTTGATTGTTCTTTTACTTTTACATTAAAAAAATCTACTAAAACTATATTTCTATTCTTATAGAATACACACATGCAGGCATAACAGTATGTATGTAAAAGTATATGTGTTCCTATATATATCATCTGTATGTAGGCACATAAACTATATCTTTCCAGTATATCAATTCTGTATTTCTTAATCTCATGTACACTTAAATTTTAAACTTTTTTCTGAGTTTCATTTTTAAACTTAATGTTTTTAATTTTTTTCATATTTGTAAACATCATTTACCTTACGAGGGTTAGCCTTTTTTCTTTTATGATGAATCTTATCTAAGATATTTTTGAACTCCTAGTCTTATAGGCATTTTATTTCACTTTCCATTGTAATTAAAAATAATAATAATATGATAGAGAAGGGGAATGGTAGAAAGAACAGACTTCAAAACCAGGAAAAGATGGAGAACGTCTATAGCAACCCACCTCTCTGGCTTCTTCAGTGAGTTTTCCAATATACTTAGCTCCACAAAGGATAACACCGGATTTCAACCTCCCCAGGGATCATAACCTCATTATTCTTGGGGCATAACTGAATGGTGAACCTGATTTCTCTGATCATTCAGCTTTTATGGGAAACTTGGTGTTTTAAAATCTATGGCCAATCACTTTAGGTTAAATTCAGATGGCCACCTGGAATGTTATTCAATTTTAAGCCAATTAAAAACATTTTTAAGTGATCTTAAATTTTATGTATTCTACTCTGCTTTATTTCTGGATTCTAGTGTCAGGCCTCTGAGGTTTTAGCACCTTAATTAAAGTCTGGTCTCTCTGATGGGCTTTAATCTTTGCTTTCTTGTTTACTTTTATCAATTTGAAGATTAGTCAGAAGGTAGAGTTCACTCAACTTTTTAAAGATTAATTGTTTATATCCCCTTCACAAACCTAGTAGTTTATTAGACCAGATATTTTACTTGATTGATGATAAACTTGAGCTTCTCAGGTTCCTTCACAGTAGAGCAGCTGGGTCTTAGGCAAGGCTCTTCTGTGAGTGACCACAATCACTCCATTAAGAAAACCCAAAGATGGGGTGCCTGGGAGGCTCAGTAGGTTAAGTGTCTGACTTCGGCTCGGGTCATGGCCTCAGGGTCCTGGGATCAAGCCCGGCTTTGGGCTCTGCGCTCACTGGGGAGTCTACTTCTCCTTCTCCCTCTGCTTCTGTCCCTGCTCATGCTCTCCCCCCCCAAATAAATAAAATCTTTAAAAAACAAAAAAACCCCAAAGCTATTTGCAGTTTTTTGTGACCACCTTCTTGGCCTTTGGTTGACACAACCACATTTAATTGATTAACACACTCAAAAGATTAGAACGTAAGAAACAGGATCAACAGTAAAACACACCTGTGTCATTCTGGGGTGGAGGTTAAGTGGAGGAGCTGAGAGGAGCTGTGAGCTTTCAAATGTATTATTATGCTTACCAAATCCCTGCTTCTGTTTCCTAGCCCCTTGAAAGCAATTCTGAACATTATTTAATCTTTATTTGAGAATTTGTAAGGATCTTCAGAGACAATGGATCATAGATCTCTACTATACATATACCTAAGTGTTAAAAACTTGGTGTTGGAGGAAAACTAAAATAGGGTAAGAGTTAGATAACTGTCATGATGAAGGACAAGCAATTAGAAATGGAAGTAAAAATCCAGAGTTTTTATATTTCAAGTCATATAATCTTTAATAGTGCTGAAGTAAATTATGAGCGAAACACAAAGCCAGGCACACAGAGAAATCACCTAAAACAACAGGGAAGAACTCATTTATTTATTTATTTTTTGTATACTCGCTCAATGTCTTGAGAAAAAGCTAGGATCCCAGGTGGGTTTTTATGTCTATAAAATTTTTTTCTCTTCTAAATTACATTTAAACGAAAAAAAAAAGGAAAGAAAGCAAAACAATAATAAGCTTTGTTGGTAGGTCTATACTATTTTCATACATTCTTGGGAAAAAGGTAGCAAACAAAATTTCTGCAACAGTAAGTGATGCTTAGAGGAAAATGAAATCACGGAGTGATGCCAGGACTGATTATTCCACTGCACTTGAAAAGCAGAGATTGCAGTCTGTGAGTCCAAAGTGGTTTCATATGGACTGCTGCAGTTGTGGTTTATGCTTGAAACTATAACCTGTCAAATTAGAAGCAGGCAAGGCCGATGCTCTTAATGGTTCCACTTTCTACTGTCTGCAGTTATGTCTATAAGTTCAGCACTTTTTATTCAGTTAAACTCTGTTATTTGGATGAGTAGAATCTCAAAACTGCTCTTTGTTATCTTGGTTAGAGAAGATTTTAGTTATGATAGAAAGCTTAAAGACCTGCCAATGTGATTTTTATTACATAGATGAAGCTGACTTGCGTTGTAACCATTTTCACCAACTATTGATATTTTATTATCCTGGTTACCACTATGTAATAGATAACTACAGGGAAGAGGTAGATAAACTACGTCAGTTCCCACGCTTTTCCTCTTCTGCCTTTCCGGTTACTTTATTGACTTTAACTTGTACCTTATTGACTCAACATTTTTCCAAGCCTACAGTAGCCTGCTATTACGAGCTTAGTGCTACAACATGCTCCATTTCTTCTCTTCTCCTTGATTATGGAATGCCCTTCTAGGCAGTGGGCTTGGTTGACAGAGATTTTCCCATCAAAACTGAGAAGCTACTTGTTCTATTTTATTAATGTTTCACGCAGAGTCCTTCCTTAGTGAATCTTTCTTAATGCCCATTAGTGTAATATAAAAATGTTTTTTTAAAAAAGCATAAACAATATTTGCTCTCTGTATAATGCATTGTAAGTGAAACCATGCCACTAAACAATCATATCCTGTTTAGGCCATAATGACATCAGAAATATATGTTTATCATCTGCTTTGGACAACTGAGCATGATTTTGGCCCACGGCGAAGTTGAACTAAAACCATTTGCAGTTGCCCCAAACCAAGATAACCACACATTTTTAAGGTAATTGATACCTAAAGAGAACATTGCCTTTAGATCACAGTTCATGATCTAAGCATACTAATTCTTTAAAGAAGGTTGTTAAAGCTTATTAAGCATGTATGTCTATTGGACTTCCTCCAGAATTTAACATGAAATAATTATATTTTTAGCATGCATAGAGATTATTAGCATGGTCTTTTGGAGTTTTGGAATTACTTCTCTTGCCCAATTTAAAGAGAAGGGGAAAATGGAGATTTTTTTTTTTACATGTAAAAGTATAAGAAGAAGGGTGATAAGAATAATGCTTTGTATTTTGGAAGGCACTCAAATAAAATCAGTCATTTGTATTTTTGAATAAGTATTTAAGGAAACAATAATTTTATGAATAGATAGCTTAGGCAAATAGAAGGAGCACAATTTTCATATGTGTTGTGAAAACATATCCAGGGAACCGAAACACACGGGACTAACTTTGTGTTACGGGGCTATAAGCACGTAATTGCCCTGGATACCACCTTAGCTAGCGAGTCTATTCATAGCCTGAAAGATAGCTCTTCATGCTATATGCCAACACGAAAGTGGGAAAATTGCCTTTGCCCACAAAGATAACTGGATGGTTTGGAACAAAAAATAAGTTTGGAATAAAATAATACCAGTAAAAGTTAGGTCTAGCAAGAAGCTTAGGGAAATCTACTCATATTTAGAGGAGGAAAGAGAGAAACAGAGCACTGAAGTTGTCTTCCAAAGTCTTGTCTGAAGGCAGAGTCCGACACCCTTAGAGGGAGACTCCGCTGAACCACGCTACTTTCAGACATGCAAACACACTGTTCTGGGCAATTCGGGTAACAATTAAAGAACATAAGAATAGAACCCAATAGCATAAGCACTGCAATGGGTATTCTATTACTGTAAGAAGGGAAGAGTGTACTGTACCTCCATTCTTTCTTGTTTAACTTCATCAATCTCATCATCTTCAAACATTGCCAGGAGTTCTCCTGTTTGGTCAATAGAGTTGAGAAAGTCTTGGGCGATTTTCTGTCTTTTGTTTGCATTATTGCTGCCACTCAGTTTGTCTTTGTGAACATAGGGAAAGAAAAAAATGTGCTTAATAGGTTTACATCAACACCAATCACTACATGTATTGAATACTGCATGTGAAATTCAGAATTGGAGTTCTCTCGAAATAATCTTTAAAGGGAGAATCTTTGCATCCAAAACAAAAGCATAAGCCATGCAGAATTAAATCATTTATTCATGTCATGAGTAAGGTTGAGAGGATAAAAAACCAAATTGTCAATTAACATAGTAAGTGTGAATGGACTGTTAAAATTCCTTACAAAAAAAAAAAAAAGAGTCCTTTCAGATTTAGAAAAAGAAACCTGCTATAGCAAGGCTAATTAATAAATAAAAACAAAGACATAAATAAATAGCATCAAGATTGAGATGTGATATTAAAAGGAGAGAATATTATGTATTTTATTGTGGCAATATATTTGAAGAGTAAAGGGACAAGATCTCACACTTTTTCTTTTAAGAGATAAAGCTATCATGCTTATCTAAAAGCAAAACATAACTTTTAAAAAGTTATTGCAAAAGGTCAAGAAGGTGTTTAATATTGCAATAGGTAATTAATAGTTTAATGAATTAATATCAGTGTGGATTAGGGAGAAAAAACTAGATTATTTTTTATTTTTTTATTTTCTTTAAAGATTTATTTGAGATAAAGAAGGAGAGAGAGAGAGAGAGAGAGAGAGAGCATGGGGGGGGAGGGTCAGAGGGAGAAGGAGACTCCTGCTGAGCAGGGAGCCCGTGAGGGACTCGATCCTGGGACTCCAGGGTCATGACCTTAGCCGAAGGCAGTCGCTTAACCAACTGAGCCACCTAGGTGCCCAAGAACTAGATTATTTTTTAAAGTGATAAAATACACAGGCAGATACCAAATAAAGAAAACCCAAATATCTTAGGGTGAAAGCATCCAATCTTTCACCATTGAGTATGATGTTAGCTGTGGGTTTTCCATAGATATCTGTCTTGGTCTGTTTATAGCATAGGCCATAATAAATATATAAATATATCACAGAATGGATGGCTTAAAAACAAATATTTATTTCTCACAGCTCTACAGGCTGGAAAGTCCAAGATCAGGTGCTGGCAGACCTGGTATCTGATGACTGCTTCCTGGTTTGCAGATGGACTGTCTTCTCCTATCCTCACATGGCCGAGAGCAAAAACAAACTCTTCTGTGTCTCTTCTTCAGAAGGGCACTAATCCCAATCATGAAGCCCCCTCCCTCATGGCTTAATTGCTTTCCAAAGGCTCTACCTCAAAATACCATCACGTTGCGGACTGGGATGCAACATACCAATCAATTCTGGAGGGACACAAACATTCCATTCATAGCAATGAACTTCATCAAGTTGAGAAAGTTCCCTTCTCAGTTTTTTGAGTGTTCCTCTCATGAAAGACTTTTGAATTTTTTTTCTAACGATTTTTCTACATTTATTGAGATGATCATGTGATTTATGACCTTTATTCCACCATATGATGTATTACATGAGTTGTTTTCTAAATTTAAACCAATCTTCCATTCCTGGGATAAACCCCATTTGGTCATGGTGTATAATCCTTTTTAAATGTTGCTGGATTTGGTTTACTAAGTATTCTGTTAGGGATTTTCACATCTATATTTAAAAAGACATTACAGCATCCTACTGAATGGGAAAAGACATTTGTAAATGACGTATCTGCTAAGGGGTTAATATCCAAAATATACAAAGAACTTATACAATTCAATAACAAAAAACCCCAAATAATCTGATCAAAAATGGGCAAAGGACCTGAATAGATATTTTTCAAAGAAGATATACAGGTGGCCAAAAGACATGCGAAAAGATGCTCAACATCACAAATCAGGAAAATGCAAATCAAAACCACAATGAGAGATCACGTTACACCTGTGAGAATGGCTAGATTAAAAAAGGGCAAGAAATAACAGTGTTGGTGAGATGTGGAGGGAAAAAAAACCCTCATGCATTGTTGGTAGGAATGTAAATTGATATAGCCACTATGGAAGATGGTATGGTGGTTCTTCAAAAAACTGAAAGTAGAATTACCATATGATCCAGTAGTTCTACTACTAGGTATTTACCCAAAGAAAATAAAAACACTAATTCAAAAAGATAAATACACCTGTATGTTTATTGCAGCATTATTTATAATAATCAAACTATGGAAACAACCAAAGTGTCCATCAATAGATGACTGGATAAAGAAGATGTAAACACACACACACACACACACACACACTGGAATATTACTCAGCCATACACACAAAAAATGAGATCTTGCAATTTGTAACAAAATGTATAGACCCAGAGGGTATAATGCTAACTGAAGTACTTCAGAAAGAGAAAGACAATCTCATGATTTCACTCATATGTAGAATTTAAGAAACAAAGAAAAAAAGACAAATGAAAAAACAGACTCTTAAATACAGAGAACAAACAGGTGGTGGCCAAGGGGGAGATGGGGTGAGGAAATGGGTAAAATAAATAAAGGAGTTGAAGAGGTAGAAACTTCCAGTTACAAAACAAATAAGTCACGGAGATGGAAAGTACAGCATCGGGAATAGAGAAAAGCAATGTATTAGTCTTTAGTTTTCATTTTGTGTGATATCTTTGTCTGGTTTTCATATCAGAATAATACTGGCCTTGTAGAATGAGCTGGGAAAGGACTGGTGTTAATTGTTCTTTAAACATTTGGTAGAATTCATCATAAGGTCATTTAGGCCTGGGTTTTTCCTTGGGGAAGTCTTAAAAGTACTAATTCAAATAATTTACTTGCCATAGGTCTACTCACATTTTCTGTTTCTTCTAGATTCAGTTTCAGTAGCTTGTGTTTTCATAGGATATAAAGTAGATATTTATAGAATTGGTTATATTAACCATTGTATTTACCATTTCTGCTTCTTTTCATTTCTTTCTGTAATTTGAGCAGCCATCTTGTGTCACTCCTTCCTCCAATACAGCTTTGTTACCACTCGCCTCACTTATGTTGTTACTGTCAAATATATTGTAATACATATCTACATGTATATATATATATCTACATGTTATAGACTTGACATTACAATTATATATAGTTTCATACATCGTTTTTTTAAATCAGTTAAGAGGAAGAAAGGAAAAACTGTGCAATTATATTGTCTCTTATGTTTTACTTACATAATTACCTTTACAGGTACTTGTGTGTGTGTGTGTGTGTGTGTGTGTGTAATCAAATTATTGTCTGGTGCCACTTGCTTGAGCCTGAAGAACTTACTTTCATATTTTTTTATGTGGATTTGCTACCAAGAAATTCACCCAGTTTTTGTTTATCTGGGAATATATTTTATTTTGCCTTCACTTTTAAAAGATAGTTTTGCTGGGTATGTTTCTTGGTTAACAGTTTTTTCTTTCAGCAATTTGAATATGTCATTTCACTGCTATCTGACCTATATTGGTGGGGTTTTTTTTTTTTTTTTTTTTGATCTATATTGTTAATGAGAAATCAGCTGGTAATACTTGTGGAGTTCGATTGTATGTGATGAGGTGCTTTTCCCTTGCAGCTTTTGTGAGTTTCTCTTTGTCTTAGTCTTCCTCCATTTCTAGAAGAATATGTGTGAATGTGGATCTCTATGTGATTATCCTAATTGGAGCCCCTTAAGCTGCTTGGATGTAATGATTGTCATCAAAGTTGAGAAGTTTCAATCACTATCTATTTGAGGATTTTTTCTGCTCCTTTTTATCTTTTTCTTTCCTTCTGGTAGTCCCATTATGTACATGTTGGCTCATATCAGGATGCCTCAAATTTCTCTGTTAATTTTTCTTCATTCTTTTTTCTCTTTGTTTTTCATACTGCATAATCATTAACAGTCTGTCTTCAAGTTCACTGATTCCTTCTCACTTTAAAGCTACTTTTGAGCCTCTTTACTGAATTTTTCATCTCAGTCATTGTGCTTTCTAACTCCAGAATTTGCATTTGTTTCTTTTTTATGATTTGTATCTTTAATCATTTTTAAAATTTTTATTTAAATTTGTTAGTTAACATTCAGTATAATATTAGTTTCAGGTATATAATATAGTGATTCAACACTTCCACACAACACCCAGTGCTCATCATGACAAGTGTATGCCTTAATTTCTCTTAATTGATATTTTCTATTTTGTGAGACACTTTAATCACACCTTCCTTTTGTTCCTTAAAAATGGTTTCCTTTGTTCTTTGAACACCTTTATGATAGCTACTTTGAAGCTTTTGTGTGCTAAGTCCAACATCTGGGCTCCCTCAAAGGCAGTTTGTGTTGTCTGCTTTTTGTTCCCTTTTTATGGATTACACATTCCTGTTTTTTTGCTTGTCTAGTATTTAGTGGTTATTGTTGTTGAAAATGGACATTTTATCTTATAGCAACTCTAAATAATAATTCCCTCTTCTTCCTGGGGCCTCTTGTCATTGTTTGCTTGTTTGGTCGTTTGTTTAGTGATTTGGCTTGACTGGTTCAATAAAATCTTTTTCTCTCACAGCATGTGGCCTCAGAAGTTGTTCCCCAGACAGCATAACTGTGAGCATGCAACTGGTCTCCTCATTCACCAGGGATGACTGTGGTGTTAGTCAGGTTCTCTTTGGCTGTCACTTTCCCTGATCTCTACTAAGTTTCTGGCTGGTTTAATTCTATGGGTATCACATACAGCTTTTAGCTTCCACTGACTTCTGGCTGATTGCTCTACTGTTTTTGATAATACTCTTGGGCATTTTCCACAGATTGGTCTGAATAATGTCAGGCCCCTTTGCAGAGTCCCGATATTGCCAGCCTTTACATTTTGCTCTGACCCCAGAAAGACTCTTCTTAGCTGTCTCTTCCATTTGTTTCCTCTGTTAAACCTTTAGCTGACACACTATTTTGTTTGTTGTTACTCATATCACATAGCTTCCAGCTTCCTCTTAATTACTAACCATTAGGATTTCCATAGTTTTCTATACCACCCTTAGGTATGAACTTCCACATGCTCCGTTCTAAAAAGTCAGTCCTCATAGAGAAAGCTGCAGAACTCTCTGTTATCAAAGTCTGCCTCTGCCTCTGGGCTAAACCTCTGCATCACTGTACTGGAGCTGGGGGTAGAAATAGCAATTGGCTTTTCCTAGAAAGACTCCTAGATCTGTGAGTGGATAGCCAGGCAGGGATGGTAGTCCACTGTCTTCTAGGCTTGTCCCTTCTGGTGTGGAGCTTTATTCCCCATGAGCAAGCTAGGGTGGGGCAATCAGGGCCCAGTATTCTTAGCCTACCATGTCTGGGGTAGAGCTTTCCTATGAACAGAGAATGAGTGGAAGCTCCAGTCCTTTTAACTGTGCCTGCATGGAATACAGCTTCTGCAACGTGGAGCCAGAGGACATGAGAGATGCCAACCTCCTGGGGGGAAACTGTTGCCCTGGACTGGTAGCTGAAGAATCAGCTGTCCAATGTTCTTGGAAACACTTGCCCAGAGTAAAGCTTCTACCATACTGAGCTGAGGTGCCAGGAGGGAAGAAGAGGGATAGTGGGAGCAGGTCATGGCTCAAATCAAACAGACTCTCACTGTTATTAATGAGATTTGGATTTTCTTAAATATGTACTTCTCCATTTGCTATATATGCTTAGGAGAACTTCTAGAGACTTTAAGCCATTACTTTTTAAAGTTTTCACCAGTAAAATGTGTTTCACTAGGGAAAGAGTCTATCCTCATATGGCCATTCTCCAAAGTCCCACCTCAGTATTAGATATATTTTACTGGATTACTTTATCATGTAAGTTATATCAACTATTTTAAAACTTGATATGACACAAAAAACTAGATAGTTTAAATGAAAATAAAGAGATGAGATCTGAAATAAATAAGGAGAAGGCATCAGACTGATAGGATAGTGTTAGGACAACTGAATACTAGTCTCACCACTCTGAGCTTCTTGGTGTTCTGAGTTTGGTATTAAAAGCTATCATTTATTCAATGTCAGGGATGTATCAGGTTATTTTCATACATTATGTTAAACTCTCATAAGAACTCCACCATGAGTGGTATAATTTTTGACTTACGAGAAAACTGATCCTCAAGTTCACATAGAGAGAAAGCAGACAATTGGGACTGACTGGAATTCAGGTCTGTATTCTTTATGCTCTTCAAAAAAGGAAGCATTTAAATTCATCTGGAGAACTATTTTTCAGAAATTAAATTCTATGAGAATTGCAGGAATATTAAATAGGCAACACTGATTAAACATTTGATATGAATATTCTTTCTTTCTTTCCTTCTTTCTTTCTTTCTTTCTTTTTTGCATGGTTATTATACTTGCTTATTTGCTGAAGGTAAATCAAAATTTACTTCTAAAATTTGTTAACTCTTCAGTTGGTTTTGAGCAGTTTTCTGAAGTTCTTAATCCAGTAGAGTTTATTTATCAATGTCTTTATTAGCAATGGATACCCACTATGCAGTGACTATATTCAATGCAAAATATATGAGTTATTCTAAAACACACATATTTATTTTGACTCAGTAAGTATTGTTTAGTATGTTTCTGCTTTCACCTTAGCACTGCTTGATTCTGCAACATTAATATTTTTTTCCAAATATTCTGAAACGGGGAATTGAGTTGGAAAATCAGATAAAGAAAATTTTCTACTCTGTGTTGGGCTGTTGGTAAGATTTCAAACAGCACAGTAATAACACACCAAAATGAGGTGACTTTATATAACACTGCATATCAGGTACTTTCTATAATAAATTAAGAAAAACCCATATGTCAATTTCAGAGATATATAATAACAGTTCTGGCTTCCTACACCCACAACAGAAGAATTATCTTGCTAAGATTATATTTTGAATCAACATGATTTTCTCAGTTTCATGACATTCTGATATAAAACAGGCCATATGATTAAAAGAACTGACATAGCAGATTACTATGAAGCCATGTAAACAGAAAATCACAAGATTTAGCTGCCAACTAACTAGATATTTGGATAATTTCTAAGCTACATTATTTTCAGAAGCACACATATTCTTCTGTGATGGGAAAGTCCACAATGACATTGTATCAGTGTGTCACCCAGCACGCACATGTCACATTGCTCTCAGTTTAGTGTTTTGTTTTTTTTTAGGTTACCTTCCAGAAGGTCATCCTCATCTATGCCCTTGACAATCTTGGATTTGTAGTCTCGGAAAAACATGTACTTTAGCAGTCTTCTAAGCTTTTTCTGTTAAAAATATGAAATAAAAAATCTTATACATTACATTCACTTTACTGATTATAGAATACTATGATAACTAAATTTAATAAACTTGTATTCTAGGATCACTGTGAAAAATACAGCAATTCTTAGCATAATACTGTGGAATAAAAGATGTCATCATATTAAACATAAAAGATAAAACACAAGCATTTTAAAAAGCACTTCTCATTTGTAAGTATCCAAAATGCTCCAGAATTACAGTCATTGCTTTTTTTTTTTTTGGTCTTATAAAAAGTCTTAAATTCTTCCTGAAGATTGTGACAAGTATCACACTCTATCACACTCTCCATACTAAGATAGTTATAGTGATTTATAAACATCTAGACAAGGATTTTGTAACAACTGCTTTAAAAAGCCAAGCAACTCTCCTTTTCATTGTTTTTTATTCTCTGGAAAAAAATTTTTTTTTTAATTTAGAAAAGTTGGTTTATGTTTTATATTTCTGAAAAACATTCTATAATCTGAGAAATATGTTTTAATGAGACTCAAAGCTGATGAATGACAGTTGGGTCTTGATGGTTTTCTTTAAGTTTATTAGAAGACCATAATACTGCTTAACTTAAAAGGTAACTGATAATACTTTGTAATGTATTGTGTGCTTGGTTCCTGACCTTCAGGTTTAAGGTTCCAAATTATGGCTGAAATATAGTGCATTCTACAAAGTTCTTTTACACACATCTTATTTGATCAACCCTGAAATACAGACAAATATAATCATCTCCTTTTTATATACAGGGAAACAGGTTACAACTAGAGGTTAGCAGGGCCAGAAGTAGAGCATAAGCTTTGGACTTCAGTTTCTTTATTGACAATTTTAAGTAAAGTGCCTACCATATAGGACCACTGGGATGAATAAACGAAAGAATGAGTGAAGGTGCCTAGAGCAAGATAGTAGACAGTAAATAAATACTGCTTGAATATAAAATGGAATTAGGAAGAGAAAAAACATACACCTATAAATAGTTCTTCTGCTCCCCTTCTTTTCTCTTTGCTCTGATTGTATTCAATACTTTAGATTTTATTTTGTCTTATGTTAAACCTACGTAAACTACTTTACTTTTGTTTGGAACATGTCAGCAGATAAATATAATTATTATTTTGAAAAGAAAGATGAGAACTCTGGCAGCTATTATTACAGCTATGTTCTCAGTTGATGAAAGGATTCTGGTTAAGAGTCCTTCTGGGCACTAGAGGGGCCCTGTCAATTAGTGTACGTTCCTATAGTATCACCATGATTTTAAATGTTGATTTTCCCAAAAGGCAGGAGAAAGTGTCAATGTGGACCGTTTTTTGTGCTAGTCTCTTTACCTCTGTCATGAAAAAGGAAAGTTGATTGGACATATTCTGTAAAGTACTAATACTAACTCCACTGTTCTCCAGGGGCCTTCGTGAAGGACCTTGGCTCCAGGTCCTCATTTCTGTCAAAGGCAAGCTCCTTCCTCACAGCACCACTGCTGCCCGGTGCCTATTACTTCTTGGTCCTCTAAGTATAATGAAGTCCTGCATATTTGTACTCTTTACTGTCTCCCTGAAATCTGCTTTCCTATCCACTTCCAGAGCCATTATGCTCATCACATTTTGCCTTGATTACTGAACCAGCATCTTGGCTAGTTCCTTTGCATTTGGTCCATTCTACACACAACTGCATGAGTCTCAGACACCTCCACTTCAACAAATCCTTCCGCCTCTCGTCTAATCACACAACTTTGGAAATCCTGCTTCTTTAACTAAATCATACAGATTTCCTAAACCAGATTATAGCTTCTTGATAGTGAAGACATTTCTTTTCTCTTCCTTTATATTCCTCATAAGATCAAAGAGTTAATAAGAATTTATACAATTTAATGGTAGACTAGTCATGGTGTGGTTTGTAGGTTTCTGAATCTTACTCTATGAGGAAGACCGAAAATACTTGATCTAAGTTTAATCAACCTTCAGTCAAACAGAATTAAAAGATTTCACAGATATAAAGTAACTGGATATTGGAAAGGGTGTTAACAAGGTTCTCCAAAAGGTTAATGGAATGTTTTCTGATAAAAAACAAAAAAAAACAAAAAAAAAATAAACGACAAGAAAAAAAAAAAAACCAGCCACGAGCATACAAAAATGGTGGAAGAGGAATGGGTACGTGTAATGAAGAGGCCAGGGAAAAACAATGAAGAAGTGAAAGATGGACCATCAGAGATGGACCATCAGAAACAAAACACTGCCTGCTCACTGGGGATAGCAGCTACCATACATAACACATGGTGGTTACTCCACTACTTTTGTACATGTAACTTTTAGATGACACTGTTATTAAAAACACGTAAAACACGTAAAACATTATAAAATATTTTCAACTAGCTACTCATGGGAGATAGGACAAAACTAGACAGGTAAATATCAGCTTAAATATTTTATTTTATTTATTTATTTTTTTAAAGATTTTATTTATTTATTTGAGAGAGAGAGTGAGAGAGTGAGAGCACAAAGGGAAGAAGGTCAGAGGGAGAAGCAGACTCCCCGCTGAGCAGGGAGCCCGACGTGGGACTCGATCCCGGGACTCCAGGATCATGACCTGAGCCGAAGGCAGTCGCTTAAGCAGCTGAGCCACCCAGGCGCCCAGCTTAAATATTTTAATTACCAGAGTTCAAAGAGTAAGAAAGGTAGACCGTTACCATAAAAACTCTAGACATTATTATATTAATGCCACTGAAAGACTCATCTTGACTGATAATGATTGTTTTCCTATAAATCAGTGTCACAGAATAAACCTTGAAACAAACCCTGGGAAAGCCTGTAATCTTGTGTAAAATTAGAAGAAAAATAAATATGCCACTCAGTTCTATCTCACGTATTCCAACAAAGCACATAATCGATACGTAGTGACTATTATGTAGCAATGAAAATGTTGAAAGGGATAGGGGAGGATAAGTGAGAATTAGTTGGCAGCCTAGATCTACATCAGTGCCCCGGCCCTTGGTGAACAATCAATTCTCTTACAATAAACCATTTTGTGCAAACTATGAAGACTAAAACATCAGTTTAATAGTCGTATTCCAATTTGAAAGCTGTATAAGAAGGATACAGTTCCTTATATAAGTGTAATTAAGCACCAAACATGGCATGTTAATACAAGGAAATTGTTTTATATTACCTTATCTTTGCGCATCAAAAACAGAAGGTCTTCAGCAGAGATTACCCTTGCTCCCCGAAGCTGAGAAACTTCAGCGGCTTGCTGTAACTAATAACAAAGAGAACTTAGGATTTTTTTCTCTCCATAATCTAAATTAAGTATACTACAGTCATGATGTCTCAAGAGAGATAAATATTCTAAGAGTTAAAAACCTTTGGGAATAATCTGGCAATCACATTACTGCTTTTGAAAGTGAAATGTCTTATGTTTTAAAGTAAAAAAATGCCATTAAATTAACTTATAAGCCCACCTGTAACTGATACAATAAACAGAAATCCCTGATTTCTTTCATGCAAAAGAAAAATCATGTGCAGCTTCCAGAAATGCATTAATGCACCTGAAAATAATTTTATGAAATTTTATCCTCATATCCATGTGAGCAATGGTTTCACTCAGTATCACTAGTTGAATACGTATATTATTAATCCGAGCTCCCATGCTGGTATGATTTGAAATAGGCCCATTCAGAACTTTAAAAGATCAACAAAAACAGTAGCTGTTTCTAATATCCAAAGGAAAAAAAATAGTTTTAGTTTTGGCAAGTCTTCAGTGGGCAAAGGATTCAGTCCATAAATCATAATACTGGACTGCATTAATTTCTTTCCACACTAATCACATGCATACAAAAAGTTAACTGTATCTGGAATGCACAACACAAAACATACTGCATGAAAAGTTAGATTCCCCCTGAAATGTTCATCTGGGCCCTTATATCTACAAAGTTGAGAGTTTTCTGGAGTTCAGAAGTCCTAGAAACACAATCTTACTTGAAAATGACCTGGAAAATAAAAGAATGTGAAAAATGATAGTTCTATTTTTTGGCAAAGGCAAAATCGGTTTCTTATTTTGATTAGTTGGAAGGAACATAAAATATGTCCAGATGAAAAAAATAAAGATGCTGGAGAAAACACTACAAATATGTGCCTGTAACTTCTTCCAAATTTGATCAAACCACGGTGATTGCTCCACACCATCTCTATCCAATATTATAAAAATATTTACATATAAAGGCTGTTCCTGAATGCATTCTTCTTTGAAGGGAATAAATCTAACATATTCCTGAGAACTAATCTTTAAAAAGTGACACACCGTTATCTTAACAATTATAAGGAATCAAATAGTGCATTTGTACTAGAGAAATTCTGCTCGAATGTTTAAGCGATTTTGCTAAGTAAGCTTCAAACCTTGTCTAAATACACAGACTACAAAATAGACTATAAACTCCCTATGTGTCAGCCTTACCACTGAATTTCCTGGATACTGGTGGTTGGTATATAAACATAATTCTACCTAAATATAGAAATTTAAATTTAACTGTGAGCCATTTAAAAAGAAATCTTGGGGGAAAGGTTTTAAAAAGATGATGTATCTACTCAGAAACTAAAAGTTTTCAGCAGGAAAAATTTGAACATATTTTTCTAAAAACTGGCAGAGTGTCAGGGAAATATGTGTACATGTTTTTTTCAAATAAAAACATTTCTATCACAGTATAAAATACACACAATCAGTGTGGAGAAGAATATGGGCTCAGTATCCATTTAAATGTGTGGACGTATATAGAGAACGTACAGGGAACCAGGAGGCAGCCCTGTCAAGTAACTTTTGTTTTCTTTCACAAAGGATGGTGAGGATTTGACAAAGTACTATACAGACGGAAGTAATTTCACCTATGTTAAGAAAGGATCAGGAGAAGTATATATCCCAAAAGTTTTCCCAATTAATCACTTATCCATACTACATATCAATAAATCATCTGTAATTATAATCCTCTTCAAAATGTCAGTTTACAAACACATTAACCAGGAAAAAACAGAAAATGGAAAATAAAGGCATAGGAGACTTGGACATTTTAAAACACCTTTGAAAACCAGTAGACGACTACCGTAGGGATCTGGAATTTATGTCATGATATGTGGTCATAATTAGCAGGAAAATTTAACTTTAGTTTTCATCTGTCCGATGCAGTAATTTCCTTCACCTAACTTTGTGCCCTTACTAGCACGGGCGCTGCTAGAATTCTCCTAATACGCCCCGGACTTTCAAGAAGTGACTCCTCAGGACTGAACATGATCACTGTGCTACTTCAAACCTATCTGCCTTGATGTGCCTCATGCTCCAAAATTACCTCTGGGAGAGGGAGGAGGCAGCTTCCTGCTGAGCAGGGAACCCGATGCAGGGCTCGATTCCAGGACCCTGGGATCATGACCTGAGCCGAAGGCAGACGCTTAATGACTGAGCCACCCAGGCGCCCCTGTAACTGTTTAAAAGACAAAAGTTCCCCTTGCATATTAACACCCATCATGTCTGCATTTTGAAGTATTTTATGACACTTTATTTGGGATTTGAGCATAAAAAAGTCCTTTAAATTTTACATGTCATCTTAAATGCCTAATCTTTGATCCTGCAAATAAATCTCCTCTTAATTTCTCATTGCTCTCAATGACACTAACATTCAAACTCATTTTATTTTCCTCACTCTACTACCTTTTCACTAACCTCTGTTGATTTTGTTTTGTTTTACTTGGCTCATGGTGTTGAATTTGCTTTCTACTTCCACAGAATTCATCCCAATCTACTCTTGTGGGGCTATTTGCTTACTGGTTTCAAAATTTCAGTGTCTCCAAATTGCGATGCAATCTAGATTTAAGTGCTAGAACGATCTTGCTCAAATATAATGCCCGTAATTCTTGTTCCAGGATCTATGAGAAGTCACTATTATCTAACTTCAATGTGGTCTTTAAAGCCTGTGGCTCACAGATTTTTCACTATATCCTCATTCTCATTATATTTCTTGGGTTTTTTCTCATATTATTCTACATTTAAACTCCAATAATTTCAATTCTGTTTTCACACTTTCGTGCATTTGTAATGATTAATTTTCTGTGTCAACTTGATTGGGCCACAAGGTGCTCAGACACTTGGTCAAACGTTATTCTGGGTGTGACTGTGAGGGTATTTCTGGATGAAATTAACATGTGAATAGGTAAAATAAGCAGACTGCCCTCCCTAATGTGGGTGGACCTCAACCTATCAACTGAAGAACTGAATAGAACATTATTACCTCACACCTATCAGAATAGCTAAAATCAGCAACACAAGAAACAACAGGTGTTGGCCAGGATGTGGACAAAGGGGAATCCTCTTGCACTGTTGGTGGGAATGCAAATTGGTGTGGTTACTCTGGAAAACCGTATGGAGGTTCTTCAAAAAGTTAAAAATAGAACTACTCTGTGATCCAGCAATTCCACTACTAGGTATTTAACCAAATAATACAAAAATACCAATTCAAAGGGATACCTGCACCCCAATGTCTATAGCATCATTATCTACAATAGCCAAATTATGGAAACAGCCCAAGTATCCATCGACTGATGGATAAAGAAGATGAGGTATATATATAAAATGGAACATTACTCAGCCATAAATAAAAATGAAATCTTGCCATTTGCAATGACATGGATAGAGCTAGAGAGTATTATGCTAAGCAAAATGAGTCAGTCAGAGAAAGACAAATACCACATGATTTCACTCATATGCTGAACTTAATAAAGAAAACAAACAAGCAAAGGGAAAAAAGAGAGAGAGGCAAACCAGGAAATAGACTCTTAACTACAGAGAAGAAAACTGATGGTTACCAGAAGGGAGATGAGTGGGGGGGATGGGTGAAATAGGAGATGGGGATTAAGGAGGGCACTTGTGATGAGCACTGGGTGTTGTATGGAAGTGTTGAATCACTATACTGTACACCTGAAACTAATATTACACTGTATGTTAACTAACTAGAACTTAAATAAAAACTTAAAAAAACCATAAAGGCCAAATAAAAGGGAATGGAACCCTTTCTGTCGACCTTGAAATGGAACACTCGTCTTTTCTAGCCTTCTCACTTGGGACTAAAACAGCTCCTGTTTTTCTGGCTGGACTCAGGCTGGAATTACATTTCACCTCTCCTGGGTCTCCAGCTTGCCAACTACAGAACTTGGGACTCCTCAGCCTGCCTACCTACCTACCTACCATCTTTCTATCTATCCATCCATCTATCCACACCCCCCCACACCCCCTCCCCCAGACCCCTTATTGGTTCTGTTTTTCTGGAGAGTCCTAATATAGAACTATACTCAAATTATGAGAAATTCTTGATTCTTTATGGGATGCAGCACTTTCTTCTTTAAAATACAGGTTTCAAAATAATTTTATCAAAGAAAAAAGACCTATGATTATCTTCATACAATAGTGTCTGTTATCTAACCTCGGTATGAAACTCATATGCTCAGGTTACAACATGTTAATTATACTCATCAATGAGTTTCTTCTTTATCTTCCTCAACCAGTTACTTAATACTCTCACTTCCCAACTACATTTTGAATAATATCTCTTGGTCCAAGACCACCATTCCCCAACAGGCAATTTATAAATGTTTGTCAAATGTTGGCAATCCATTTCCCATTGACAGTTGTCAGTTTCCTCATCTTTGATATAAATGAATTGGGTTAGATGAAGTCAATAAACTCTGCATTTGTCTGGGACCCACATAAATTCAGCAGAAAGATTCCTCTAAAGTTCCAAAAGGTCTTAAAAGTACAGCAAATTAATTTCACAATTATTAACATCCTGAAAATATTCCATTTTAACCACACTTCTGTTGCACCTCTTTCCTTTGGGTTTTGACTAAATCCCTGGATCTTACCTTTTTGAGGATACATAGTAAATAAATAAATAGTAAGAGGCAAGAGTTGTTGAAAGCTATGTTATGAAAAGCTATGTTATGAAAAGCTAGATTGTCCCCTGGCCTAAGATTTATTTGTCTGTCTTTCTATCCATTGGTCCATCACTCACTATTTACCAGGCCAGATTCTAGGTCAGACGATGAAAGGACGGCTCTGCTTACAACTGTACCTCTCAGCCGTCGATCCTCTCTGAGCCTCCATGTTGTGACTGAAAGAGTTCAGAAATCTGGATTCCAGGTCTAGCTCTACTACTCACATATTCACATAACTGTGAGATCAGATACATCAATAACTTCCCTAGATTTGTCAGTTTATAAATA